TATCTTCCTCCTCAATCAGTTGGCGAGAAAGACATTTCAGGATCTCGACCCTATCTGGTTGAACCGTATTGTCAACTAAGGTGGCCTTACTTCTGTTACAAGTGGGGATGAGTTTCAGAGACTAGTCCAAGTTGCATGTCAGATCAAGATCTTCTAACGTTATGACTGCAGCAGACTAGATAGATGTAGGCTATCTAACCTAACTGCGATGAACACAGGCCTGTTCTGATAGAATTAGTGAAAGGTTATTAAGCGAATCTTTTGAAAGACTACGAAGACTTTGGCCAACGCATGGCTGTTCAGCAACCTGCGCAGACACCATCATCCGGGTAACTTTATTGGCCTATAATGTATTTTTGTAATGGCGGTCAAGGTGGTTATTTGATGATATGAAAATGAGAGTAATAACGCCATCTGCCTAATTAATGATTGAAATCTGTGTAAACAAATTTAGCTGTCGATTTCAAGATGATGCAAGATGTCAATGTTGAACCAGCGAAGGAACTAAGGACTATTGAAATTGGGCAAACCAACGTCGATGAATCAGGCAAGGGGCCTCCTCCGTCTGCAGAGAAAACAGTCGTGGAACATCACTCGAATTTTGGACCTGATATGTCAGGGAGTGACGAGGATGAAGCTTCTGAGGTAAAGTAAAATCGAGCATCACAGTGTTTGGTATTTGTTGTACGTGAGTTTGATTTAAGAAAGGGACAGTCGAGGCTTTTGATGTTATGTCTGTTCGTCACAAAGAAAAGGCGGAGTAGCTGGAGTGAGCCAGTGAATAGCAAATGAATGGGTGGCGTGCTGTTGTTAGTATCGCAGCTCCCAGGCCCTGCACTGAACTATCAAATCTCAAGACGATGAGCATGGAGGTTCTGTTCTCTTTTCTATGTAGGCTTACTTGAATATTTAAGTTACACATTGGATGTGGTGTCTTGTTTGAAATATCTAATCTAATTGGCTTTCTGATTGTTGGAAACCATGACTGACCATGTGATTATGTTGATGGCAGGGTGGGAGGGGAATGTGGCACCACTACAAATCTATTCTAAGGCCTAGACTTCTAGTCTATCTAATCTAGATTTAGATCTAGATCTAGATTTCTAGATTAGATCTATTACTCCACTGCCACAACTTGACTTAACCTGACACTGAGCACACATAACTGCCCTCAAATGCAGGACACTACTCAACTGCCCTTACACTTACACTTACATTCATGAAGTGAGTAGGTTTTGGCCAACTTCACAGTTCACAAACAAGCTCACCAATCATTGCATAGAGGTCTGACCAAACACAACATTTTAATTTGAGGTGCAGGTAAGCTGTGTTGATCTAGGCTTGCTGTGTGAAGAAAGCTCAAGGCTAGATCTAGATCTAGATAGATTCTAGATTTATCGAGGCTACATGATTAATAAATTTTATATAATTCTAGATTTTAGATCTAGATCTAGATCTATGATTTTGGAGTCCTCCCTGGTATTGGCTCAGCCTTTTATTAATCAAAATCAAGTACCAGGTTTGTGAAACTTGACTCAACACTGGTCACAACTGCAATGACACTGGCTCTAGCCTCACCTGAAGCTATGCTATTGTATTTTGTATAAAAAGTGTCACCATTTCATTGTGTGGGTTGAGACACTGGGAGCCGGGTATATGTAGTCCGATAAGCCTATTTCGGCACCTCGCCTGCGTTCTGGTCCCGAGTCAGTGTAGCTCCTGGCTCAGC